TTACATAATACATATATTTCGTACTGTCTGAAACAATAAACGAGCGAAAATTTTTATAAGTTGCGGTTATATGTTATTCCGAAGCGTGGATTACTGCTTAACTCGATTTTTGACTACACAAATTTTCTCTACATAAATTTCTATTTAATATACATCAATGCAGTTATAACTTGGAAATTAATATCACGAAAGTGTGAATTTATTTTTAGCCAGTTATAGATCAAAAAATTCATAAATTATTACATCTGACATTGTAATATATTTATGAAAGTGTAACCTTGCGATAGAAATCTAAGAACTATTGATTAGTGTAATAGAAAAATACTATTTCGAAAAAATAAAAAAAAATTATCAACAGTTCCGGGTTCGTTGACGATCGGAACATTAAATTAACCTTCAGCGGTATGGAGACTCATTACCAATTGAACTTCCGTCGAGTGCACATCGACCAAATAATATGTCTGCAATCAAACCTTAATCTACAATTCTGACTTCTAAAATTGGTGAGTTACATGGTTTGGTTTCTTTGGTGTTGGGTTAATACTTGATCGTGATTATTTGAATCTGAATACGAGTTCAATTTCCACGACTTGTATCGTAGTCGCACAAGATATATTTCATTAGTTTCTTTCCATTCTTTAACAATTACCGTGATATACGTTATATTTCTGCACATACATTATAATATTAGACTAACAATAATATTGCTCTATTCAGAACTTCTCATTGAATCTATAATTTGGAAAATAATTTAGTCCTTCACTATTAACTAATCAAACAAGAATATTTCTTCAATATCTTAAATTAGTCATTAGATCAAACAATTATGCCTTAGTTTACGAATATCATTCCTCTTTCTAACAAATAATTTAAATTCAACATAAGTTGAAACCTGCGTGAGAAATATATGAAACAGTACTGATTTACAAGACTGATTATAATGAGACCCGTGCGTAGTCACCTCCACGTGGTGGGTCTTGGTAATTGATATCGTTTTACAAACATTAAAGTTTAATGTTNGGGCCCGGGCGGGTCTCGTGCGTAGTCACCTCCTCGTGGTGAGACCTGGTAATTGATATCTTTTTACAAACATTAAAGTTTGTAAAACGTTATGAAGCTAAGTTGTAAAACGGTAAACGATAAACTTTAATGTTTATGAAACGGTATTAAGCTAAGAACTACGCAACCTACAGTTCAATTTAAATCGTGAAAATTTCTTTCCATCCCTTTTTTTACCATCTAAACTGAACTGTAGGTACAATTAGTTGATAAGTAAACTATTGGGTCCCCAGCGGGCCACCGATGGACGACGAGGGACCTCGCATGGACATCGTGGGACGCGTGCGTTTTTGTTTTATGTTGCGTGCGTTTAGTTTTAATTAATTATATGACAGTTAATATCTGGGACGACGAAAGATCTCGCAGCGACATCGTGGGATGCGTGCGTCTTAGCTTTAAGTTGCGTGCGTTTAGTTTTAGTTAATTGTAAGATAGTTAGTGTTTGTAAAATCGCTGTTAACGCATTCTGTACAAAGATACGTTTGTTTAACTTGAGACGAAATTATGGACACCTCCTCTCTTCCCTTTTTTCGTTCGTTGTTACTATCGTTACTGTCATTGCACTACAGTACAGTTACATTTGTTTCTGCCATTGCACTAGAGTAGAGTTACATTTGATACTGCCATTGCGCTAGAGTAGAGTTACTTTTGTTATTGTCATTGCACTAGAGTAGAGTTTCCAACTTTCGTTGTCAGTGTGTCAAGTTGGGTGACTGCAGCCTCGTCCGAAAGGACGAGGTAGGTTCTTGTAGTCTAGCGTCCTTTGTAATCCGGCTCAGTGGTTCTTCGGAACCCCACTGTGTCGTTGAGGGTACCGCGAAACTACTTGCCTCTAAATGCTCGAAACTCGATTTGGCATACTGGCAACGGAAGTTGAAATCTCTACTCTAGTGCAATGACAGTAACAAACCGCGGTTTCATTTCGAGTTATATCCCTTGCAAAACACGATACTGAAACGTGTTAATAGTTTTGTTTTCCTGATTTCGTTCAAAGTTCGATGAGCGTGTCTTTGATACAAAATGCGCTGTTAGGGCTGCGAATTATTGTACAATTGTTGTGTAACTTTCATGTTAGACGAATGTGTGGTTAGTATGAAAGGCTGCGAGTGATTGCGATATATTGTATGAGTTGCATTCGTATGTAATGTATGATTGTATGGAATGTATGTAACGAATGATCGTATGTAATGTATGTGTGATTGTATGCAATGTATGTAACGAATGATCGTATGTAATGTACGAATGTATGTAATGTATGATTATATGATTTGTATGTATTGTATAATTGTTAACGCGATCGTTGTTTGGGAGACAGAGTTCCATAGTTCAATCTTATACATGCGCTTTAGAGTTAAGATGTAGACTTAAGTTTGAGATTGAACTATTGAACGTCCGTCTCCTTTGTTCGTAATCCCGGGCCAAGTAGAACAAAATCTCGGTATTCCTTAAGAATGCCGAGTTATTTGCATGTAATGGAGGGTGGTTGGGATTAGGGCCCGGGTGGGTCTCGTTCGTAGTCACCTCCTCGTGGTGAGACCTGGTAATTGATATTGTTTTGCAAATATTAAAGTTTGTAAAACGTTATCAAGCTGAGTGGTAAAATGGTAAACGACACACTTTAATGTTCGTGAAACGATATCAAGCTAAGAACTACGCAACCTACAGTTCAGTTTAGATCGTGAAAATTTCCGTCCATTCTTTATTTCACGGTTTAAACTGAACTGTAGGAAAAATTAGTTGATAAGTAAACTATTGGGCCCCCAGCGGGCCACCGATGGACGTCGATGGATATTCAAGTTGCGTGCGTTTAGTTTTAAGTTGCGTGCGTTCAGTTTTAAGTCGCGTGCATTTAGTTTTAGTTAATAATAAGATGGTTAATATTTGTAAATTCACTGTGATCGCATTCTGTACAAAGGACACGTTTATTTAACTTGAAACGAAATTAGGGTCGTCTTCCCAAAAAGAGCTTCTCTTTATCTTCTTCCTTTACACGATATCTTCTGCATTACTTACTACTACCACAATTTTAGTCTGAGTGTCACTCGATATTTTTTTTAAAGGTTTTTAATCTTTATTAAATTCACATTTTGAAATATACGCCTGAGCTTCCCAATTTCTCGAAACGATACTGCTCAACAGCGTACATAATGTCCAAGTACTGCAGTCACACGTTCGTTTACATCAGGTCACACGACTTTTAGAATCTGTGTTTCCAATAACTTTACTGGCAGAAGAAATTGAACTGTGTATTTTACATATTTTGTAGGCTGCTATACAGCATTGTAGAGTAATTCGAGAAATAGGTAGCCGGGTTCTCGAAATTTTCGGGAATCTCGACTTTTTGAGAAAATTCGAGTCCTTCGGGAATTTTGAAATTTTCCGGCTCGTCCTAACGGTTCTCGCACACCCGAAAATTACAGTATTTATTGTTGCCTAAGATTAACGTGGACTATAAAGCAATAAAACTGTAAAATTGTGAAATTTTAACTAAATAACACATAAAAACTGTAAAACTATTGATGACTTTAATAGAAATAGTGTTTTTGGAAATATTAACGAAGACTACCATCTGTTTGTGCATCGCTGATTTTACCTTTATTTGACGGTTGACCCGCGAAAAAGGTCATCATAAGTTGAACCCTCATCGTATATACATCGATTAATGAAACAATTTGTGCGTTGCTCATATAGGTGAAATAATGAAAGTAGTTAGTCTCGAGCATTTCTGCGTCGATTCATTTTAACGTAACAAGTACAATGTTAAACTAACGACGTTTGTCATTGTCTACTTAATTTATTGCACATAACTTCACGCTCCGTTTTGTTCAATTATTTATATCCATGTCAAATTCTACCGAAATTAATTCAAATTGGTTTGGTGTAATTTCACTTCGGAACTTTGGACGAGAGGTTTCTATTACGAAAACGTATTACGGAGAAATAATCGTGAGTGATTATATGATATAAAAATTGTGTTGGAATGAAAACATAATTTTCAACGCATATTTTTGGTTTCAAGATTTTATTTTTATCATCCTGCTGTTGATATTCACTTATTTGATATTGTTGATATTCATTTATACTTTTATGGTCAGAAAATAGTGGCTAAAGAAACATTTATATAAAATCTACAAAAGTATGAAAATTTTAACACGGAAATATTGAACGGTTCCATAATTTTCAATTCAAAGGAAGATGATAAGAGTTGTTTTTAAAGACTACACCCTGAATTTCAAGATGATTCGTGTACCGTCTCGTCTGTAATAAATAAACTGATCGAAAGAAATCCTTCGTCGTTTGATATATCAAATGTCAATTGTCATTTGAGTCGATCAGAAACCACACTCGTCAATTTCACAAATTGGTAAGCACAGTTGTAAAAGCACGTTTCTCAAATTTATCTTAAAATCCACCGTTACCCGTTTTCTTTCAATGAATGAACTTGTGAAAAGTAAGTTCATTTGTTGTTCAGAAAATTGATCTTCCACCTACGCAATGGAATCAAGAAATGAAGTAAAAATAAAAATTGATGTTACTCAATTTGTCCCTTGAGAGATTCACACATTACACGATGAAACTTATACGGAGAATTATATGATCTTATTATATTATATATCAAAAATTTCATGTGATAAAGTAAAATTGGTCAGTTTTGGTTTCCGAGGAGTTTTCATCGGGAAAACTGAGAAGTTCTTTAGGAAATTTCGTGAGAATTTCGTAAAAATTAAGATGGATCGATTCGACTTTCGAGCTGCACGATGAAATTTGACGCACCTCGTGAAGTATTCGTGCGTTCGTTCAATTCAATTTCCGAGGATTTTAAATGGCCGTATGGTGGTATTAGTGAAACCGCGCTGTGCGGCTGTTCAATTAACATTAAACAAATACTCACCGTCGCTGCGCTGCGCGATACCTCTTTTGTCGCCTTTCCCCATATTTTCTTCTCCCTCTATCCACTAAGGTGTGAGAATCGCTTTCTTCCTCTCCCGCCTGAAATTCAATTGTAAGGTGCATTTGATTACTGCGTGTTCTGCACTCGTAGCAACGTGTTCCCGACACACAAAAGCCTTGGCAACCGCGTGCCACGCGTTTCGTCGCTTTCGTGCACTTCGTGTATGTACGTACATTCGCGCGAACAGGCCCGGGCTCAATTTGCTCCAGGACGTGAGGATCGAGCGGAAATTGTTGGGAATTGGTCGCCACGAAGATACAGTTAGTGAAAGAAATTAGAGCCACCATTAATTTTCGTAATGAAATAAATTATTTGTTTATTTGTTGCGAGAAGTGGGCTCTCTTTCGTTACTTAACGAGAAGAAAAGACAAAGGAAGGGAGCGAGAACCATAAGTACAAATAATACTACGATAATATGATAATAATATAATATGATAATAATTAATATATATAAATATAATATGGTAATAATATATATATATATAAATATAATATGATAATAATTAGGAATATAGAAAGAAGAAAGAGGATCATTATTTTAATGAAAAATTCAAAATCCGCTCTTTTGAATTATTTTGATGTAAATGTGAGTGTTGAAACACTGTTAATGGGAGATTTTAATATAAATTAAAATTTGCCATTAAAGATTCTCTTTCGCTGTTCTGGAAAATTGAATATTAACTTGAACAAACGACAAAAATTTAATCTCCGGATGGAGAGGAAATTGTTGAGAATGGGTGCGATGAGAAACTGCCGATAATTTAAATTGTTATAACTTCACAACCGAAAATCATGTAACAATTTACCTGGTCTTTTATTTTAAAGCGCAGTTTTAAATTGTAAAAATTCAAAAGTATTGAAAAAATTTGTTTCTTTACTAGATTCACCATTCATCCATTTAACTAAATTTTGAACATTCGGGTTACGCAAGATAAAATTCAACAATCGTACAAAGATCGTGTAGTAAGTTTCAAGGGGGTTCATTGTAAACGGAAGACTTCAATCTTCAAGATCATGGCAACTCAAAAGTCGCGAGAAAGTTTGTTCAATATCTTTAGAGACGTTCAAATTTTGACAATTTTAACAGGAATAAAAATATCCTTGAAAGTTCCACCCGGTACATGACGTAAAACATCATTGAAGAAGCCTGTCATTCAAAATAAGATTGTCGAATGAATGAATTGTCGTATGATTTTCTCTTCTTTCCCGGTTATAATAGTTTGAACGTTATATATAAAAAGTAACAAGTCGTCGAAAGAAAATTCGTAATTTGCAAGAACTATTAATTCTAAACTGAATCCAATCAAGTATTCACCACGTTCGAGCAAATCGTACCAGTATCACGAGGAACGTTTTTCGTATTGCAAAAGGGAAGCTCCATGTGTTTTGTTTCCGGATTAATTGACTCTATGAAGTTCGTGGCAGTAGATGAGGAACGCAAATTGACGGTAGTCGTGGGAAAATCGCAAACGACGCGCGGAATTCGGCGCGGAAATTGGCCAGGCTTGCACATTTTCGCCAATGCTGCGATTGGAAATCGATATAGAATCGTCGCGGTGCTCACGTGCGAGCGTCATTATCAATCATCGACGCCGGAAATTATTAGTTACTACACTGCTTGTAAAACGAAGCCGAATCGAAAGATATCGATCGATCTTGATCGTTCAGTCGTTGCTTGCGAATTTGCGCGATTTTCTATTTAAACATATTCTTTTTCGAGTGCAATTAAATTGGGAAGTGCTAACGCTGATGCTTCAAAAGTGTAATTTTTATTTTATTATCACACAAGGGTATTATTATTATTATACAAATATTATTATACAAATAGTAGTACAATCTGAGTGGAGATGACGATGCATGAAAAAATAAACGAAAAATTTGGTGTAAAATTTTTTCGCCTTGTTCCTCATTTTCGAGAAAATTTTTATCTGCTTGTTGTTTCTGTCCACTGATTATGATACACAGTTACAGTGGTAATAGGTCTCTGCAAGATATTCATTTCTTTTATTATATTACACATATCACTGAAGTACATAACATGATTCGACGAATTAAGGACAAATTGACGAATTCTAACGAATGTATTTTCTGCTTTTTAATTGGTCAAATTACTTTGCACAATTTCTTTGTTACAGTTGCGCAATAAATTTTAAAATTTAGATTCATTGATACATTCCTACAAATATTTCCTGAATTTTTCAAATCCATTTTCTCGGAAATAAGACGAAGAAATTTTCTGTTTACTCCTCATCATTTAGTATCATTTTGTATAAAAATTATAAATCTATGCTGTGAAAATAACATCTTCTCGTTTTCAAAAATATTAGGGAAGTACGAAAAAGAGAAAGTGCGAAAGTATTGTAAATTTTACTTTGCCTCGTTCAGTGTCACCTCCTCTCGATCAATTAATTTCGTTCAGTCTTATCCTAAATAGAATTTTCCAACGACAGATTGCTAATTTGTGTGTATTCACAATACGAAGTTCACGTTTTAACGTCTTCTTTCGGAAAATGCCGAGGGAAAGTTGGAGAAAGTAGTAACGGGAGTGAATTCTGAGGAATGCTGCTAGTGTCTTGTTGCTAAAAAGGAAAAAAGAAATATAATAATTGAAGGCGTTTCGCGGAACGAAGGAGAAGCAAGAAGACTGAGTTACTTTTATACGTAAAATGAGAACGGAGAGATGAATTTCGTTGCTTATTTTATTCTAAAATTAACTTGGCTTTCTCCTGGCTAACATAATTTATTTTACATTTTGGTTGCGTATTACGTTCCGTGTAATATTTTTTTTCAAAACATGTTGGCCGCACTTTATTTCTGCATATATTAACGTACGTTTTAATTATCGCTGTTCGCGATAATATTTCCTTCATTAAATGTTCTCGTGAATTAATTTAAATTTTTCGTCACGTCGTAACAATCTTGACAAGCACTTTGTAAATAACATTATCTCGTTACGTTAATCTTCGATAGAAATTTATGTATTTTTCACAGGTAGACATGCGTTTCATATTTCTAAATAAACATGTTTTCTTGTAATTTTTTGATTTCAACGTACAATATATTTGTGTAACAAATTGGCAAACTCTCATTAAATCACAAATCAATTAATAATTAATGTCTACTTTATTCAACGATATACAATATAAATAATTTGTTTGTCAAGTGATTCAAATTTTGAGCTTCTGAAAGTAGCATTTTACAAGTTAGCATTTGTTTATTGTTTCAGCACGTCGTTTTTCAATTGTACAAATATGTATTCACACTGCTTCTATTCGGTGCTTAAAGAGAATTTAAAGGTCACCAACAGAGCGAGTAATCAAATACGATAGCGCAACACGATATTACGAACTAGTAACTTTAGTTGAAAACCTATTCAAACTCGACGATGGTAGAGTTTACAGAAATATAAGCCGTAAAAGGGGAAACGCCAATACCGTTTTTAAGTTCTCTCGAGTTTTGCGAACAGTATATTCTCTAAACGGGCTCGTTGTCGGTTCAATTCGACACTGACGTGGTTATGATATATTTATCGCTTTCGTCCTACTTTTTCTATCTTTTACCTTTACAACTGCGTCTATTTTTTTTTCTTTTTTTTTCAAATTTCAGAGAAATAATCTTTCAGCCTTCGAAAATTTCGTCTCCCTCCGATTTTCGAATTTTGAGATTGTTCGATTTCAAATAATATATTATTAATTTGAAGAACAACAACCTCGAAAATTAAATTAGTTATCTCGAATTGAATTGATCTTCAACTTCTTTAATTCTTCAGAACTTTTCGTTACAGTCTTTGCACGAATTTTTTGGACGAATTCCGTGGATTTTTGGAATCCTCGATCACCCAGAGATGTAAAAGCATCTAATTTACTAAAAATATGTATATAATAAATGAGAAAAATTATTAACCACTCGTCGATCATTCATCTGTTGTTTTCACTTATTTCGAGTAGGAAGCATTGAAAACTTTAACAACAGCAAGACTTTCAGTTATTTATTTACTTGCTCTGATCTAGCAGTACTGTTTACTCATAATGATGTTATATTTACATCGTAGCGTGCTCATTATTAAACTTGTCATTCTTGTGTCAAACCGTTTTCAGTTTATTCCTTTGCGAAAAGCTCGAGAGTTTTCCAGCGCAAAGTTCCGAAAGCTTATTATTCGAGGATCAGAGAAGTTCAACTATTTTCACAGTATTACTACGGTGGCAGAACTCAAATGATCCGAATACTGGAACTTCCCATGGTGCAGGGTGAAATTTATCTTTATACAGTGCGAAATCAACACAGACACTGAGGAGTTTCCTCAGTGGGAAAAATCTCACCCTGCTGCAACAACAACTGTTATTCCTTCAAAAAAAGTTTTAACGAAAAGTTACGGAGAAATGCATACATATGAAACTACAGAGCTGTTGAACAGCCAGAAGTAGAATTTATTCTACACGTTGCATTCGTTTCAAGTTTTGCAATAGTTTTCCAATGATGAAAAGAAATCGTTAACGATCGTTGAGTTAAAGATACCTATTAATTTTCTAATTATAAATGATAGAAATATGAGGTAAATATACCTATTAATTTTCTAATTATAAATGATAGAAATATCAGATTCGTCAAAATCGCCGGTTTGTATTTTTTTCATGGATATTCTGTAGATTTACGACGCACAGTTTCGATTCTAGAATAATTACAGAATTATTTGTAATTTCTCGATAATTGCTAAATTTCGTCGTTAAAATGTATATCTTTTTACTCGCGAGAGAATTGAAAATGGAAATTATAACAAGACGATCGTTCATAAATAATTTAATAAATGATTTTAATACTCATCTTAATCATTCATCGTCTAATAAAACTTAATAGCTTAATATGTGTATTTGACTTCGATGTTTCTAAATTAAATTGATCTATCTGCGCTTCAATCAATCGATATTATTAAATTTTATTTTTTAACATTGAGATTTTAACATGAATCTTCATATCATTTCATTATATTTTATGTCAGTCATTGTACCTTTTTTCCAGATCTTACGGTTCTGTGAAATTT